CCATGACACAACACAATGAACCAAGCGGGAAGAACAACTCGTAACCTTGACACATGCATGAAGACAGATGTCAGAGGCGGTAAATCAGAGGCGACTTCGGATTACAGTCTAACTTTTTTACTTTCTCGCGTTACGAATTATTCGTATGAAGAGAAAGTTATGTAATCGTGCATCAGGAAACGACATAGAATTTTTTTTATTTAAGTTCGCAGCAACTACTAGGTCATTAGCGACATTGTTGATTTTTTAACGTTAGGGTAACCATAAGGGTAGACTGTCTGTTTTCAAGAGGACGGCCACGCGCCAAACCTGAACTAATTCAACTACGACCCTTACTGAATCAACACAGTCAACTCTCCAAATCTAATGCTCTATTACTCTACTAAATAATAATCCGGCCGACATTACTTTATGCTTGTCCCATCTGGACCAATGCTGCCAATACCAACGTAAACAAAACGCAAGTTGTACACGTAGGCTTCCGCGGCTCGAGTCCATTACTTCTAGGCTGTCCGGGTGACGCCGCGTCGTTTGTAGATAGGCCTCTCTGCCAACGACGCGGAGTCACCCGGACAGCCTAGAAGTAATGAAAACGCAAGTTATCCAAAGTAAATTCTTAATATTAATTACAAAAGCACCATGGTTCGTCAGTAACAATCAATTGCATAATGATTTAAATATAAACACAATACAAAACCGAATAGCCTACATCGCACACAATTTGTACACTAACATTCCCCTCATTCAAGCATCATCCTTCTATAAACTAGGCAAAACCCCTAATTATGAAACGAGCATTACCAACAGGTATCCTTTCCATTCATTTTATAAAATGTTCGCAAACCTAGAATAATACTTATCTGAGGTGCTTCCTAACCTACTACGCTCTTTTTTTATTTTATTTTTATATAATTGTAATGTATAATTTTAAGTTACTGTAAGTTAGTATAAGCTAGATTCAGACCATCAAATATTTGCACAGTTAATATGTAAAGAGAACAATGTAATGTCTACAAAAAATAAATTACAACAACAACAACAACAACAACAACAATAATAATAATAATAATAATAATAATAATAATAATAATAATAATAATAATAATAATAAAAATAATTGCAAAAAGGACCACCAGGTAACATCTCGCCTACGTCCCTCTTTACACGCACTTCTGCGTCACTACCCAGCGGCCAGGATTCGGAGGGAATTAGGACAGAGGCAGGTTTAGAACACTTCACAGGGATTGGACTAGCCTCTGATAAGCAGCCAAGCTTTATGAAAATTGAGAACATCGTCAAATGTTTATACAAAATAATACGAAATGTATGTTGTTGGATGGGGTTGTTTCTTGTATAGATTTTATTTATATTGTTGGTTTGGTGGTAAACTTGGATATATATTTTTACTGTTGGTATATCGTTGGTTGTAACAATGTAGAGTAGTAGTAATATTTTTATAAATATAATTTGAAAGATTAATTATTTTCAATCAATGCAATGTATACGGAATGTTTGATACAACCATTACATATTGATATAAGACACTTTTCACAACTTCACACTGACGTAAATTTACTTGGGAGTCTCGGTTGCGTAAAACTCATTGCGGCAAAATTCTTAAGCAAAATAAATGATGAAGGGTCCCGAGTACACTGGTGCTCCAGTTAAGGGTTAAGAAATGCTAACGTGCAATATGGCGGTTTCTGCTCCAAGAAGAGAAAAACGTATTTAGTGGTAAATATACTATCATTACGGGTTTCATAATCATCGAAATTTATAATTTGTATGAAAGGACATGGTGATTATCATTTACAACAGATTTTTACATCTTAAATCTCGGCCACGCCATATTCCCTAACTCGCTCGTTTCCCTCTCGATCCTTTTTGAACAGGAGGTTCGCAATAAATAACATTTAGGTAAGTCGGGAGAGTGTTCTATACGCGAGGGGAGTTTGGACGAAGGCGAAGTGGCTGTGAGGAAGAATAAATGAATCTTATCTATCCAAAAATTGTTCTTGTGGGAGAATGTGACTGTTCCTCAACCTTGTCATGCCAAGTATATTAACACACATCCCTTCCGGGTTGCGTAGGCCTGAGATCCAATGCGTGTGAATCACCGCGGCGTCGCTTGTCATGTGTCGACAAGCGACAGATGAGAGCCGACGCGCGCCTCTGGAGGTCAGGCAAGAAAGATCCCGTTCGTACGGCTGGGTTGAAAACAGATTCCCAATCGTAACTAAAAGGTTAAGGCAGTCTTATATCAAGCCGAGCCAGTAATTGCATTTTATGCCTTCGGCTAAAGGACTTTTTTTAAAAAATTCTGTTACTTGCATAACAGCGTCCCCAAGCATCGTGACGTTGAACGCAGGTAGTAGTCCTCCTTCAACATATTAAATCAGTCTTACATCGAACCAAGTCAGTCATTGCCTTTTATCCCTATCGGCCCGCGTGTTCAGCGTCGTTTGTATCTGGGATTCCCAGATGGTCACCCATCCTGGAACCATAGGTGATTCGCGCTACCTTACTTACGTGATTGTAACTTCTTAACGGAGCTGGGTTAAGAAGTGCGGCTAAGACATATATTTTGAAATCGAAGGTATAAAAAGGAATAAAACAAAAATAATTTCATCTTACTTCTAAAACAATTGAAGTATTTTTTTAACTTAGCCCAGAAAATGAGATTGTCATGTTCTAGAACAGTTGCTAGAGCTTTATATTCCCCATTTACTGACTGTATTGTTGTGAACAAAATCAGCCCTTGGCCATAGTTATTATCTCCGATAGTCTGAGTGATTTTGATCAAAGAACCGTTGTCCAGTCTTTTGGGGTAAAATAACCAAAGTCCTTTACATGTAGGCTTTTCCGTGATTATTTCTCAAGCTTAGCTCATCTCAATCTGCAACAGATGATGTTTGTTTTGTAAATGTGGTTATTCTGCATAACCAGTATTTGTGTCCTGGAAGTTTGGTGATAGTGTGAAACCTGTTCTTGTGGCATATATGCCCTTTGTGTTGTGAATTTGAGCAAGAAAGGGGGAAAGTAACAGCTAAGAAATGGATTCTACGTCATATTTACAAAGAGCAAGTGGAAGAGTCGTAAACCAAAAGAAGGGGGAATGATGTTGTAAGACTGAAGAAGGTTAAAATAGAAGCACATCTTAATCACAAAGGAATCTTCAGAATACAAGTAAATACTTGTAAATGTGTAGGGACTTAATCACAAAGGACGTATTTGCCGCAAGAACAGGTTTCACACTATCACCAAACTTCCTGGACAAAAATACTGGTTATGCAGAATAATCACATTCACAAAACAAACATTATAATCCGATGCAGATTGAGATAAGCTAAGCTTGAGAAATAATCACGAAAAAACCTACATTTAAAGGACTATGGTTATTTTACCCCAAAAGACTTGTCAACGGTTCTTTGATCAAAATCACTCAGACTTTCGGAGCAAGTAACTATGGACAGGAGCTGATTGTATACTCAACAATACAGTCAGTAAATGACGGGTATAAAGCTCTAACAATAGTTCTAATACATCAAAATCTCACTTTTTGGACTATTTTTTTAAACACTTCAAATGTTTTAGAAGTACGATAAAATTATTTACTGTCACATGCTGACAGAGATTTGTGTCTAAATTTGTCATCAGAGGAATATGCCAATGTGGAAAACGAAAACGCTGATAATGATGATAACACCAGTGGCGAATAACATTAAGTTGGTCAATAATATTCCGAATTTATCAAGTGCATTAACACCTTGCATTATTCTTTGCAATATTGTAATATTAATGCCCCAATAAATATCTTTGATGTACAAATTTCTCAAAACAAAACACCAACACCATAGTGCATCTACGCCCTTCTTTATCCAACAATTACCACAATACAGTTCAAGCTTTAACTACACTCGAGCGTTCATTAGTATTTACAATAGCTTGGGAAAGTGCACAATAATTTTCATTTTTCGAATGCATTCTATCAATTTCGTCATGGTTCGTTTTTTCTCTCTCCTGAAAAATTGTGTTTTAAAATTGTTAAAAATTGTGTTTGGAATTGTGTTTTAAAAAACCCCTTCAATTACAACATAAAATTAAAATGTCATAATATAATGATAATACAGATTAAAACCTTATTATCAGAATAAGCGGAGTGTTACTTCCCAGATACTGAGAGATTATCTATAATTATCCAATGATCTTTACCGGAGAGGTGGCTCAGGGCATGAACTGATATCTCTGCACTTCCTCTGACCAGGAGGTCCTAGGTTCGAGTCTCGATGGTGTCAGAATTTTCAACACTAGGTGGACATTTTCAAAGCTACGTGTAATTAAGTCGCTGGAGGAGAATTCCGGCGACCGGCTGCTCTGATCGGTAGTTTTCCGTGGTTTCTCCGATAAACACCATGCGAATGCCCGAGCAGTACCCTAACAAATAGACCACGAACCGCGCGCGATCTTCCCTACCTCTTCCTTATCCTCTCCTGACTATACCACCACACATGCCTTAGAGCTTGTCCCGGTTGGGGAGGTGCCTCGCTGATAGGTGATACCTGGCTGAGGAAAACCCCGTTGGTCGACAGCTAGATCTGCACCGGATCTCACCATCCGGTGAGGGAAGGAAGATCACAGCCACATCCCGAGAGAAGAACATGCACTACACTTACGTGAACAGTGACCTTTGTAGTTGACGCTCCTGGAATCGCTTATCAATCAACCCAAAAAATTCAATGACCTTTATCAATAGTAGTACGACCACGAGATTGCCAGTGATTTGGAAACAATAATGTCTGTGGCGAACAATTGTACGAAAGAAATTGAAACAAAGAATTATCACCGAGAACACTACAGAGGACTTCCCAAAATAAATTGTAAATCAATTGCACCTAAAAGTCGGGAATTCAAAAATACCTCGCAGCATAAAGAATGCACCTAATTCGTCGAATATGTCTTACATCATATCCCCACGACCCTGCGGTCTGGCTTAGTAATGTCGCCACCCGTTAGAGCGCAGCTCGGATGCACTGCTAACCCGGGGCAAATGCTTTGCATTTAATGCCGAAGTGTTTGTACGTTTGGAATTGTTGGGATAGTTGATGGTTATGTTACGAAAACTAATAATATATTACGTTTGTTTCTATTGCCTTTTCAGTGTATGAATTATTCTAATCCAGATTCCTGTACATTGACATGTTTCAAAAGATGTGTACAGTGCTTTAAGTTAATATGTCATGTGTAGTAAACAAACTTTTTCATTGCTGTCGTATGAGAATTTAAGTTGTCATTAGGTAAAACAATGCCAGGAGGAGAACCATTATTACCATTTGTCAGTGGATGGGATGATGATTCAACAGGGATTGAAGAAGATCCTAATCCTAGAGGTAAATAAACCTTACCTATGCAGTTATTACTGCATGTAAAGTAAACATTAGTGGTTGGAACAGCAGAGTGCTAACTCTCATTTCAAAAACCTGAAGTAAATATTTCAGAATTTCATTTTACCAAACTTTCCTTTTCCTCTGGCTGACAAAAATTACAGAAATGCGGGTTAGTATTATGTGCCCTTTTAATTTTATTAATTCTTCATTTTAGATTAGTATCCTAGGCTGTCAGTTTAACTTGTATTATCAGGAGAATGGTCCAGAATTGATTATTTATAGACAGCGTTATTTCTATTGTCACATTTAGTGCTATAAGTTAAGATTTTTAGTTATTTAGTGGTATAAGTCCAAAGTTTTGAAACCTCTTATGGTTTCTTTCTCAAGGTTATCTGAAATATAAACATTTAAAATTGTAAAATTTGTGTGAAATTATAAACAAGAATTGATAATTGTCAATAAAATGTAATGCTAAAATTGTGATCTTAAATACATAGGCAAAGCAAAAGAAAACTTGCTACAAGAATTAAGGAGCATAAAAATAACATTAAAAAAAGCGATAAATGAACAGAAGTCACTTTCTAAATATCGTCTTGATAAAAATAAAGAAATAGATTTTCACAATGTTGAAATTTTAGATGAAGATAGATATTTCCAGAGGCTTGCTTCAGAAAATATTCTTATTTAACTGAATGAATACTATGGTTGGTTGCAGCCTAATATCAAATATTTATAATAACCTAGTGATGAAAATTAACTGCCAATTAGTTTGCCAAATTTATAAATCTCCACTTGAGATTAGTACTTTACATTGTAAGTAAATCCCTGTAATCTTACACCCTACCTTCCCCTAGCCTTGCCGTGACTGTGATGTAGTTCTTTCCCCACCTGGCAAGTTGTCAGTCACCACTCGGTCCCTTTGGCAACGCGGACTAGTATTGTTGTCAACCTACACTATTCAGTAATGCAAGCAAATTTTAACTATCGCTTACTATTAAATAAAAGGATTCATCTTTTGGGCATGGCCTATAGATGTGTGAACTAATACATTTTATTGTTTAATTATGATAGGTATATTATGGTTGTTTGATTAGGATAGATATATTAAAGTAAGACATCGCCTATACTTGGTGCATTTTGTGATTAAATTTGTTAACAATGTTTATCCAATTTTGGGTCAGTTAAATTTTTATGAATATTGTGATTATCAATTCTTGTTTATAATTTTATACAAATTTTACAATTTTCAATTTTACAATATATGTAATATTTCAGTAAACCTTGAGAAAGAGACTTTGAAACATTGGATAATAAACGTATACTAATAAATGTGACTAGAGAAATTAAGATGACTGTCTATAAATAAACAATCCTGTATCATTCTCCTAATAATATAATTCTTCAGTTCAATGAAATTTAAATAACATAAAAAAAAAAAGTGTGTGACATACAATGAAAGAAAAGTGTAGTCTGTGTATGTATTAATGAGGTCTGGGATCGCTAGCCTAACTCACAGTACATGACATTGATTTACAAAAATATAGGTATTATCGAGTGTATTTTGCAAGACTGATGTAGACATCAGTATGTGTGCCTACCCTTGTAAGTTATTTTTGTCAAAAACCACTTACTTGTAAATCAATTGGTCAGGTAATGGTAGAATTCTTAGCTTCATAAAGAGAGACTTGGAGGAGGAGAATAATGTGGATAGGAGTGCTTTTAGTCATGCAATTCTTTTTTTAAATCTAAAAGTTCTGGAACTATAGGGTGTGTTTCCTCAAAATACTATACTGTATCTCAGATGGGGCTGAACACTGATTGTGAATATACAGAACCAGCTGTGTGAAGGCTTCCAAATTGCTTCTCTGCCCAGCATTTCTTAGAAGTTATAACCAAAGAATAGTTGTTAGCCTGCATAATGATGAATTTGGAGAATTTGAATGAAATTCAGTATGTTTTGTGCCATATCAGAAATAAATCAGTGGTTGAAAGAAAATAAAAGGTCTTCACAAAATATTGTATGTTTTGAACAGTAATTTATGTTATGAAGACCAATGTTTATAATGATTAACATTAATACGTGTGTGCTGAGTTTTATTCTCACCGTTTCAGGTTTATTGAGAGTAATCTCTACTTCTTTACATTTCACGATAAGTTTGCTCATCTTCAAATCTATAAAGTTACATTACATATTACTTGCCTTATGTAAGATGTACTTTATACATATCTACAATTTCATTGAGAAGAATTGCACTTCTTTAACAGAGGTGGCCACATTCCATCTGCTGATGTCACCTCAATCACCAGCAATCAATGCTGTGTAAGCGTCCACAAATTTGGTGCATCAATGAACGAGTAATTGATGGCTCATCTACTGCCAGGCCACACAAACGATTACTGTGTCTCAAGTCAGGAGGGGGAAATGCTATATTTGAATGACATGCTAGGTCAGAATGGTTATTAAGCGAGCCATCAGTTAATATCTTGGATTTTATTTTTATTTTTGGAGCAGCTATTACATTGTCATACATGTTAGGCACGTTAGTGCATTTTTTTTAGTATTCATTGTGTCCTTTAATTTCATGTTTAAGCATTCTGAAATCAGTCTTGGTCTTAAATTTGGTTCATTTACACGAATGTTGAAGTTATTAAAGTCAATGTTGTGAGATAGGTAAAATTCTGTGTTTAGTGATGGTGTTTGGTCTTTTTCTTATTTATTTGATATTGTTTTGATGTTCTTTAATTATGGTTTTTACTTTTCTTTTTGTCTGTCAAATGTATTTTGATTCACAATCTTTGCAGCCAATCTCATAAACTACATAAAACCTATCTTATTAAATCACAACCTTTGTGGTTTAATTATAAAATTGTTTTTGTGAAAATTGTTTGTAATCCATCTGTATTCTCATTTATCCACTTTGTTGTCATATTTAATAATTTAAGGTAAAACGGTAGATTAATGTAATTGGATGCATTTTTATCTTTCATTTTGCTGTTTGTCTTTTTTGATCTAAAAAAGGATTTTACTCTATTTTTAATGAGTTTATTAATAAAACTGCTGGGATATCATTACTCAGGAAAATGCGGTAAACTATGCTTAAATTACTATTATGGTATAGTGTTTACAGAATCAAATATAATTTTGTGGATGTAACAAACATAAGGTTTTGAACATTTTTCGAGTTATGCTGCCTTGAAGAAAAACTGAAGTGATTTACTTTAGAAAGTGTATCTGAATCTCATTGTCTTTTACTTTTCCTATATGTCCTCTGTTGTTAAACTTAACAATTTTGGCTAGAGTATATATTTCATTAAGGTAATTTACTAAAATGTGTTGAAATGTTTTTTGGATAAAATCATATCTAGAATCTCTTTTGCAAAAGTTTGCAACTGAGTAAACTTTAGTAACATTGCAATTTTTGGTGCAGAGAATCCTGAAAAAGAGATACTTTGGGCTGCTGAAAATGGAGAACTTGAAGTAGTTCGAAACATAATTATGAATAATCGAGAGTGCATACATGTAAAAGACGGTGATGGTTACACCCCGCTACACCGAGCTTGTTACAATGACCACGTTGAAATAGTTGATGTAAGTGAAATTCACTTGATATTTCCGTTTCTGATTGATTGAAAATAGTTTTAAGTTATGCCAATGTAGTGCTGGATATGAAAGTTGGTTTTAATGCAGAACAAGCATGCAATAGTATACTATAATTATTAAGTGCGAGAAAGTTAAAAGTACACATATTTGGCATGGAAAAGATGAATTAAATTGTGTATTCTTCTATTGGGTGAAATATTTCTTTTGTCAATAGTACTATCACATCACAAATAATAACAACAACATCTTGTACACTTCTTAATACTAACTTATTATTTTAAATCATTTAATATTAAACAAATATTAATTAATGTATTTAATTTTCTATGATAATCAAAATGACATTAATATTTCAAAATAATAAAGAAATTCGTAATGAATGTTTGTAATTGTTTTTTCAATACTTAAAGAGTTTGAACATAAGTGAAATACAACTATAAACAGTCACTTATACCACCTTTTCTCCAACAGGAAGACAAATCTAAAAAGTAGTTAAACTTTCAACATGCTTACCGGACGCACAATGGCCACTTTCTAGAAAAATGAGAAAAGTCAGTGAATTTGTAGATTTGTTAGTATTCAGAAAATTGTGTGTCTGTTACATAATTGGATTTTATTCCTAAAAAAATAATTACTCAATTTTTGTTTGTTGAGACTTTTTTTGCACTTGGAATATTTTTCTCTGTGTATCTAGTGTGCAAGTATATATTTAACTTTTGCACTCTGTATCTAGTGTGCAAGTATATATTTGAATTTTTTTCCCTCAAAATGTCACTTGGCCTTGTTTTCCTCTTAGTCTCAGATTTTTTACCGAAAAATATACCAATTTTTAAAAATATTAATGCCCAAATTAATTGTGTTTGAATAGCGCTTGCCCATTGTTGGGCCAAAAACCACAGTCATTCTGAAAGTGCTTTGGTAGCATGTTTTTGGAACTTAAAGTGCTAATCCTTATGCATATTGCTAAATGATACCACTAGACTGCTACAAAACACTAACAGCTTGTTCTATGAGCATCTTTTTATTCTAGAAAATGTACCAAACCCATTGGAACTTGGCTATATATGGACCATCTGCTTAGGAGCACATTCTGTTACCCAAAAATACAACAACCTTTCTAAATATTAATTTTTTCCCCTTAATATTAATTTACACTTAGTGACTTTAAAGAATATACGTAAAGAAATGATATGAATCTCCAGGAAACATGATAAAATTAGCAATTCATTTACACTTACATCCAAAAATTTCAAATTAAAGGAAACATCTCTGTCGATTTGTATTCATTGAATATTTTATTCAATAATAATATCATGAAAGTATCACTAAAGAGCAAAAGGGAAAGAAGAAGCAAATATGATGATACAATTGAATGAATACATTTTTCTGATTTGTGTTATTGAGTTGCATTTAATTAATTGGCTGTTTGGGGTCAAACTGATTTAAAGTTTTTCGTATTCTGATTGTTTAGTGTAGAGGTTCTCAATTTTTTCTGGCCCACTGTGCCCTATAGACGAAAAAGAAAATTCATTGCCCATAGTTCATAACAGTTAATTTTATATGAAATATCCAAATATTGCAGCACATTATCTGTTTCTATTTTATGTGTCTTTTCATCTTTTAGAAATCGTTAGGTAGAAATTAATAAAGCAACAAGCATGAACACATAACAGTTAAGAAATAAAAGTGAGATAAAAAAAGTCGTACTTCTTTTTCATACTTGCCTTATGATCTCTTCCATAAAATCGCTTCAACTGCTGCAGCCATTCGATGAAGCATGTTTAAAGGTGTTTTTTCTGTATATTGTTTTCAAACCACATGTACTGCATCTGTGTTTTTTCATATATCTCTGTAATCATCAATCCTACTGAAACTTATGTTCTATACAAAATTAAAGTAGATAAAAGTTCCTATGTTTTGTTATAACTGCTGACGTGGTCTGCTCATGAGAGCGACATTTGTAAACTATATATTATAAATTTATATTTCTTAAATATTATAAATAAACATTTTAAACCTATATCAATATTGATAGGACAGATATACCATGGTGCATATGCCATGGGTTGATACACCTTGACTCTGCGTCAATGCCCCCTGGATTCACTCCCCGGCTCCAGCAGACGCATTGGAAATCTATGGTTTAGTGTTGTGTTTTAAACCCTATTGGAAATGTTCAAAGGTTCATTGTGTTTTAGATTTTGTTAGAGCATGGGGCAGACATTCATGCGCGAACAAAAGATCAATGGCAGCCCTTACACTCTGCTTGTATGTGGAACAACACCAAATGTGTGGCGAAACTCTTAGAGCATGGGGCAGATGTCAACGCTACCAGTGAAGGGGGTATGTAAAGTCCTTGAAATTAAAGGGGACAAAACGAGAGTGCTTTTATCAAGAGATGTACTAGATGAAGTTACTATATGTTTTTAGGATTTATAATTTAATTTTAGAAAAACTTGGTAATGGAATGACAAATTTTATTATTTTGTAATTAAGACTGAAAGGATTTTGGAGCCATGGATATAACTCAAACTTGTTCTAAGACGTATGTGTACTATTTTTTTTTGTTAATGCATGAAACTAATTAGTTTCAGTGGTGAGAGCAAAACCAAATTGTTATTCTTTCATTAATATTGCTGGAAATAATTGCATGAAGTTTTTAAACAACCTTGGTTATTTTGGATAGTATGTTGCGTTGTATTCCATTTAGAGAAAGTGACTCAAATAGAAATTTGATATATTGAAGTTCTATTGCAATATAATTAATTTAAAAACTATTAATAGAAATAATAGGAAAACCATATGGAGCCTAAATTTTCAAAATCTAAATGTTTTGTTTTCAAAACCTAAATATTTTATCCACTAAAATTGATACACTATTTGAAAAGGGTGGATGTTTTAATTTGTGTTTATCTTTATTACAATTTATAAAAAGATAAAAAATATGGAATGAAGAAGCTGTAAGTAATGTTCATTTGTGTACAGGTCAAACCCCATTACATCTTGCTGCAGGCAACAGTGAATCCATTGCCACTCTAGCACTGTTGCTCACCCATCCACTACTGAAACCTGACATACGCAACAAAAGTGATGAAACTGCAGCTCAGATAGCGAGACGAAGTAATCCTAATTATTGGATTTTTGAAAGTGTTGAACCATGTCTGAATGTTTTCACACATGATGGTTGATTGTTTTCTATCTCTGTGGTGTTTTTTTATTCAAACAATTACAGATGCTAGTTTTAGCTAGTACTTCTCTATAATTGTACTTTCAGAAGCTTCTTGATATAACTTCAAGAATCTGCATTCTTTTTATAGAGAAGATTTTTTCCTAAAATAATTGACTGCATATTCAAAGGGTATGTTGGAAGTTACTTTGTCATTGCAAGCCTTGAGAAACTAACAGTGATATGTTAAAAAATTACATGAAAGTAAAAAATAAGTAGGGACAGTCAATTAATCTTTTGATTTAATAATCACTCGGCATGCAATTTGATTTTTGAATATTGATATTTTCTTCAAACCAAGCATAATTTATCAGAATTATTTGAAAAGAGTGGAAATATTTCAATAGGTCCAACTAGTTTAATGTGTACTGATGTTAATTTATTGTTTATAAGTAATTTTTAATAAAAGCTTTAAATAGTTTAAATCTCTTCCAATTTTATATTTATGATCCATTTAACTATATGGGATAAAGAAAATGAATTGAAGATATTCAAAGGTGTACTTACCTTTTTGGAATATAAATAAGGAAACCTTCCATATACCAACTTCTTTTACAAACTTTTTTTGAAACAAGATGTACACAAATGCACTTTGTCATCCATACTCTGCTGTCATTTGTAACCCATTTTATTTGAAAATCTTGATTGATGGCACCCTAGCAAACGTGCTACCCTCTGTCGATATTTGTTGAAATGTTACACCTGCATTTTGAGTGTTGAAGAGTGTCAGTTGTTGATTTCTTTACATATCATATCTAGAAAGGGGAGCAAGAGGGATTTTACTATATTTTTTTTTTGTGGTGTGAAACACAAGTCTCTAAGTTTCCTTTATTGTGGACATTTAAGTATCCACAATATAGCCCTGCCCTTGTTGGCACCTGCATATTATTCGAAACATCCTGAAATGTTGGTTCGTGTGTGTGTGTGGGGGTTAAATGTGTTTTTCTGCATTTTTTGCTTATATCTTCGTAACTATCAATCCTACTGAAACTTATGTCCTATACAAAATTAAAGTAGACGGAAGTTCTGATAATGTTTTGTCGTAAAATTAACCCTTTTAAAGTTATGGGTTCAAAAACATCTTGCTTTTATTTATGGCAAGCCCCTACCTTACATATTTCTCTTATGTGTAAAAATGACTTCATAAATACAAAGAGTGAATTTTATTTTATTTTTTTACCAACAATTTTTATTCTTTTTTTTCCTCCCCTCAAAAAACATTTTACATCTCATCAAATCTTATTTTTGTAAATACTTTTTGAGTATCAGGTTTGTGTCCTAGATTACTTGGGGTACGAAAACTGATAATCCACAGTTTATTTGATAAGTAACGAACACAAAACAAGATACAATTACAAATACTGTGAATATCCTTGTCTTGAAAACTCAAAAGATTTTTTGTGAAAATTTGCTCAAATTTCCACACTTACAGAAACGTTCAAATGCCTTTTTCGTAATATGTCATAAAATTAATTTTGCTGTATTTGTTAGTTTTTTTCTAAAAATACACAAATTTAATTTTTTCAAATCTCTCTCACACCTTTAATATGCACATTTCCAGAGATTTGTATATGTTATTGCATTTGTGAGTGGAAGTGCTTGAAATTACCTCTCTTGAGCTGCCTCTACTACAATTGGTTACCACAAAACCAAATATGGCCAACCATTATAACTTTATTTGCTAGTTAATTAGAAATATATATTATATATATATATATATATATATTATATATATATATATATATATATATTATATATATTATATATATTATTTTTTTTTTTTGCTCTAAATTTGGGCATAATTAATGGTAAGTTTTGAGCTGGCACTACCTTAATTGTTACCATAAAACCAATTAAGCCATTTTGTAGAGCGACTTAATTGCTAATTAATTACGAAAACATTAATTTAATTGTTCTTCGAACGCCCGACCTGGAGAGATGGCTCAAGGCATCAACTTATGTCACAGCCTGGCCGGGAGGTCCTAGGTTCGAGTAATGACGATGGCAGGATTTTCGACAGTAGCTTGTGCTGCCGAAGGCGCCCGCCGGGCGGTCGGCTACTGTCTCGCAATGGGCCGCCCGTCTGATTGAAATGAAATACTCGGACTGGTCGAGTGACAACGGTGACACTTGCGTCTTGCGCGAGCGCTGTAGTCAGGTGCATTCATGGTCCTGTTACAAAGTAATTAAGCATTTTTGCATAACATAGTACGTAATGCTAATTAATCAGTCCAATTCGTTTTTCTTCAAATAATGTTGCATAGATACATTACTTTATTCACACAGAAAGCACTTAATAATTTGGTCAGTCATTAACGATTTGAAACATCCGCATTACGTTGTATTAATGGAAATCTGAAAGTAGAAGAAAAAATGTCTGGACGTTTTTTTGATTAATTCGAATTACTCGTGTTGTAGAATTTGTTGTGTAGCATGACTGGAATATGTGGTTACTTTTAGCGAATCAAAATACTTCATTCTTCATATCGTAATCGATCTTTATAAATATAATTGTCGAACTCGTCGGCATTTCCTCGTGATTTTGAATGGACTATCACGAGTATTGTTGAACGTAACATGGCATTAGAGGAGGGCCATGTATAAGTCTTCAAACATTGGTCTATATAAGTGCTTCAGTTTTCACTTGCACTGAGTATACCAATAGCTGTCTCTTTCCCTTTTTGAAGCAAATCGAAGCGACTCGCCAGTCCTACACTCCGCTTGGACTGGTTGTACCAAGATCACGAGTAATTCTTCGAACATAATTATTTCACTCGTCAAGTCAAGTTAATGTGACAAAACCAATGGCCCAAATTCTTATTCCGAATTCACTACATGCATCCACACCGTTTGCGAACTACTTCTCTACATTACAATAATGAAATGACATAATCACAAACTACCTGAAAACAATCTGAAATCGACCATTCATTTCCTTCTCGCGGATTTTGTGGTGCATTTTTTTTTCATCCTGCTCTCTGATGGGCCTTCAGTAGAATTTCAACCCAAAACGTTACGTTAACTTAACGGTTACGTCATGGCGTTTCCAATTGTCTCTCTTAATAACTCATTTCTAATTTTTTTCGGCGCGAGATTTTTCTTTCAAATAAAATTTCTTCTCTATAGCGAGTTCCTTCATTAAGGTCGTGTACATTTTTTTGAAAATTTTATTAGTTTTCGCGCAGGATGTGCAATTTTAAAAATAACACATACAAGATTGTCTCAAAAACTGCTCCAATTTTTTCTTTAAAGTTTTGGTAAGGATAGTGCTAAATGCATCTATAAGATGACACAATAGCCATTTTGCTTTATCCTTTTGTTTTTTCAAAAATTACAAAAATGTATTATTTTTTTTACTTGTCTCTCACGTCGTTAATATGCACATTTACAACAATATATAAACAGTATTGTATTTGTGAGATAATGTGCTTCAAATTACTTTTAATGAAGTTTTTCGAAAACTCGAAAATTATATGTGAAAAAAGCTTGAAATTTCGAGTTTACAGTAGGGTTTAAACGCCAATTTCTTAAAAAGGGCTCCAAATTTTTCAAAGAAAATTGCCGTTTAGGACGAGTTTTACTGTTTTTTAACATTCTTAAAATAATAGTTCCGTTTTAGTATTAAAAAATCTAAACTTTTTAAAACCATTACTTTGGGCGGCGATAGACGGTAGCTGGGACGTATATGTGGTAAGTCCGAATAGCTAGCCGAGACCAAAGGAAATAGAATACTAATACTCTATGGCATTCTGTAGCACCACTAATTTCGGTATCAAGGGACCCCAAAACGTGTATTTCCGTTGAAATCTCGAAATCGATTTTCCGCCGCTTTACATAATTTTACCTATACCACGTTTATTACTCCGTATATACGTATGTATAGGGGTAAGTTAAAATTGAAGCTATCTACTACAGTTTTTTTGAGAAAGTCCCACGGGCGTCATGTGAAGTACTTTCAAAATTTAAATAATTGTTTTCAAAATCGCGGATCTTAAAGTCGAACCAGATCTATCGGGTGACACTCATTTGACAAAAATCCTTCGAATAGTTTAGGCGTTAATGTTACTCATAGACGGACAGACAGGCGGTTGGTAAAAAAAAAATTAAAAAAACTATTTTGTTATTGAGGAACCACAAAATGTAAATACTGATAGGTATAAGAGAATGTAATTTATTAAAAGTAGGAGCAAGAAACATCCTCTTTTATGGCATTAGTAAGCCATAAAATAAATTGTTCTGTCGAAAAAACGGCATTTTTCGATGCAGCATTGCCTATTTTTTTATATTCTGCGAGTATTACTCTTTACTTTCAGACGTGTAGGAGTTAGTACTCGTGTTTTGCGATATTGCGGATTACGAAAATGGGTAATTTCCGTGGAAATCTCGACATTGTAATACGTACATTTATCTACACTATACTGCGATTTATTCAGTTCTGCCCCCGGTAGGTATCAGCTGTTGGCGGTTTCATCCAATTAAAAGCTTGAACGTTGCCCTAGTGACGTCACTATGGTGACGTTGAAGCTCTGGATTGGATGAAACCGTCAACAGCTGATAACTGCCAAGGTTAAAATCGAATAAATCGCAGTATATGTATATTACTTCTTAGTTGGAAGTATTGTTCGTACATATCCGAGAAAGTAAGTAGCGGCACTTTAACATCTTCCTCTCATTGTTTGTATCTTTTACAATTATCAAACATTCAAAGAGATCACCGAAATCTTACTTTTATATCGCCGAGCCTTGCTTCTTACGCATTATTTATTTATTTACGACAAAAATAGTTAAAAACTGTGTGTGACGCGCTACGGAGAGAAGTTAATTTGAAGCTACATTTATGTCCAAAAGCAAAACAACGGGCTATCTCAGCATTTGCTCGAGGATCAGGGAAACAGGACGAAAACTTGATCGAGGTGGGGTCATTGACCCAAAAGCTGAAGTACAATACTTGTTACAGGTTCTTTTCAATTATACAATCAAATTATATATAATACATAAAATGTCATTGTTAAAATTAATATTACTTTCCTTTTGGATGCTCGGTATAGTCTCTAATTGTATAGAAACAGTAGTGCAGCAGAAAAGATTTTACTTGGGACTTAAACATTTGTATCGAATTTAATCGTTTAATATCTTTTGGCAAGGTGTTGTAAAATAATGTACGTGTATTATATGTGAATTTTTCGTAGTGAGCTGTTGATACTGTCACCTGATGAATATGATTACTACGTCGAGTGTTGTAGTTATAGACAACGGCGATTGCCGATAATATATTCCCGCCCTTAAGTACGTCATAACACTCAAACTGCGTCCATCAGGTTTGTTCCGTGCAGTTATAATTACGTATAGTAACACTGGAATTATGTGATGATGTGATGTTCATGGCTTAGTGACTTTAGCCCTTAAGCATAGACTAAGGAATCAT